ACGCCGTGCTCCTTCAACTGGCCGGACGACAACAGGTTCGCCCGCACACCTGGGACGTACAGCACGTCGGGGATGAGCACCTGCTTCCCGGCCTCGCCTTGCAGGGCGACGGTGCCGCGGCCCTGGACGTCCTGCAGCGCCCCATTGAAGCCACGCACGTGCTTCATGTCGCCGCTCGGCCCCAGGTCGACGAAGGCGTCCTTTGTCCCCATCAGGTGGTGGGAGCAGCCGCTGTCGAGCAGGACCACCGCCGGGTTAGCCTGCACAGCTGCCGCCACTGCCTGGAAGTCCTCGCCAATCTCTGGCGCCAGCAAAACGGTCGGCTCCACGACGCCGACCAGAGAGCACGACGCCGACCTGTCGTCTTGCCCCTTGCCGCCGGCAGAGGAGTCGGCGTCCTTCGCCGAGGTCGACGACTTGGTCGACTGCTTCTCCTTGCGCGGCTGGCTCCCTCCTCGACGAGGACGACGACTGCCAGACCTCCCGCGGCCTCCCTTGTCGTCGTCGTCCGAGTCACTGTGGTCGGGGCACTCGAAGGAGAGGTGGTCGGGGTCGCCGCACAGCCAGCACTCCCGACGTCGACTTCCTCCTCCTCGACCGTTGTCTTTGGTCGACTTCTTCTTGTCAACATCCTTGGTCGACTTCGAGCCACTGCTACCACCGCCACCAGACTGTCCACGCTGCCCCAGTCGACCGCCTTGCTTCGCCGGGGCAACGTAGTTCACCTGCGCCAAGAGCTCTTGGGACCGCTCGGCCTCCTGCATCGCCTCGTCCTGCAGGATGTACGAGGTCAGCGTGTCCTCGTTGAGCGTCGCCCGCGTGCTCGGCGTCATTGATAGCCGCTTCAGCAAGTTGTAGCTGCTCGGGAGTCCCTGCAAAACATAGGTGATGTACGACGCCGTCGAGTACTCCGCGCCGGCCATCCTGATGGTGGCGAGAATCCGCCGAGCTCGGTTGCAGTAGTCTGTCGCCGTCTCCTGGTCGCCCATACGCAGGTGCGTCAGCTGCCCCTCCAGCTGGGCGATGAACAAGTCGTCGGTGACTTGGTAGGTCGACTCGATGAAGTGCCACGCCTGGTGGCCGGCGTCGAGGTACTCCCGGCACCACTTCAAGGCGATCTGCACGTCCGGCGAGCAGCACCGTGAGATGACCGTGAAGGTCAACAACTGCACGGCACGGAACTCAGCTCGTAAGTCGGGGTCTTCTGGCGTCGCCACAGTACCACGAGCAAAGTTGATCAGCCCGGCCATCTCCAGCTGAGGCTCGATGGCTTCCTTCCAGGTGAGTATGTCGGGTCGACCGACCAGCGGGGGAGTGACCAAGATCCTGTCCGGCGTAAACTTGAAGTAGCCGTAGCTCGGTGCAATCCCGCCTGCTGTCACCTGGGTTGCCGACATTGGCACTGATCCACTTCGCCGACCTCCGACGTCACCCTGCGAGGAGCCTGCAGCCGCCGACGACCGCATCCCTCACGCTTGAACGCCGCCGACTTCGTCGGCGTGAATCACACCACGCTGCCTCGACGACGTGCCTCCCGCACTGCTGCCGACTTGGTCGCCCCCGGCGTTGACGCCCACGTCGACGCCGCCTTCGTCGTTCACCGGTCGAGGAGACGCAGGCCGAGAAGGGTGCTCCGTCGCCCACATGGAACGGATGCCAGCGTCGACGATCGCCCAAGGGATGTCGGCCAACTCCTTCGCCTCATGGCGTCTCTTCGCGCTCTCCAGCCGTGCCTCCAGGTTGTCCGCCACCCCCGTGTCACCTACGGCTACTACCATAGTGATGATCGCACAGCTGCCGGCCTACGAACAACTTAGGTAAGGTGCAACTAAGTCGACTAGACTAAAAGGTAAGTCGTTGTGCTGTCCACGCTCACCGCACCATGCGGAGATAACTTTAGCAACGGGAGCTAGACTACGGGCTAGGCACGGGTGCTCGTGTGATCTCTGCGTTCGTTGGTCCTTAGTCGTTTTCCTAGTGCGCACACTATTTGCTAGTTCACAAGGCAATTTGGCAAGAGTTTCACTAGAGAAAGTTGACAACAATGATACAAAGAAGTTGGCAAGGCAAGACTACATCAGATCTAGCATGCAAGCAGGACGACTGCCAGCGCAGTACGGTCGACCGCGCTCCAGCAGCGCAGAGTCGCGGCTTGCCAACACTGCAGGTCGACGGCGTGCCAACATCGCAGGTTGACGGCGCGCCAACGTTGCTCCCGCAGGACAGCAGCGCACCTACTTTGCAGGTGCTCGCAGATGATTGGCGTGCAGTGCCTCGTCACCTGCACAACGCACACACCACATCAACTTCGTGCTGACGACTGCTTCTGATGCACCACGTCGACCTCGGGATACCATCACCGAGGTCGTCCTCGCCAAAACCACCTGGGCGACCATCGCAAGCCTTCGCAGCACCTCGTCACCCAGGTAACCTGGTCGACCGGGCAACCAGGTCGACCAGAGGCTCCAGTGCGTGCCCGTCGACCACCCAGGTCGACGACCACTTCCGGTCGACCTCCCAGGTCGACCACTGCCTCTGGTACGTGCCGGTCGACCTCCCAAGTCGACGGCCACCTCCAGTCGACCTCCCCAGGTCGACCACTATCCCCTGGTCGACCAGCTTCAAGTCGACGTCACTCCTGGTCGACCAGAAGGCCTGGTCGACCAACCAGGTCGACCAGAAGGTCTGGTCGACGTCCCAGGTCGACCAGAAGGGCTGGTCGACGTCCCAGGTCGACCAGAAGGGCTGGTCGACGTCCCAGGTCGACCAGAAGGGCTGGTCGACGTCCCAGGTCGACCAGAAGGTCTGGTCGACTCCCCAGGTCGACCACCCGAAGTTGGCGCCCTCCCGAAGTCGGCGCCCATGCAGTGGCTCCCGTGCAGGTCGACCAACCTCGTCGACCAACTCGCCCACTGCTGCAGGTCGGCTGCACCCTACACCCGACCACGAAGTCGGCTCCGCCCAACATACAACTCCCGTTGACATATATATAGCCTCGTGTTGTACCCAGGTGATCATTCAATTTATATTCTCTTTCTGAGCTCGATCCTAAGATCCTCACACTTGGTAATCAGAGCCCGTTTACACGCGAAGTTTTTTCGACCGCTAAAAACCAGTCTTTAAAAATACCACGGGGGCGACGCAGTTAAACATCGATTTCGGGTACGTAAAACCGGTTCCGTGTTTTTTGCTCCCCCTCGATTCGGTTTTTCGGACGCGTTGATGTCAGGCATGGAGGGCCAAGGCGACAATTACGCGACTACGAGCGACATCGCGAGCCTCCGCACCGACATGGAGCAGACGCAGGCGACGCTTCGTCGACTCGAGGCTTTTCTGACAAGCCACCCAGGGTTCGCCACCGCAGCAGCAGCGACGACAGCGACTGCAGCACCGACAACTCCAGCAGCAGTGGCGACACCGACATTTCACGGACCGATGGCACCACTGTCGCCGAACCTCGAAGCAGCACGACCGAGGCACCCGGAAGCGTTCGTTCCAAGCGCGAAGGGTTTCGACGTCCGGCGATTCGTGGCCACCCTCGAAATTTACTTCGAGGCCATTGGCTGTTCGACCCCGACACACGACGCAGCAAGAATTCGGCTCGCAGCGACACTGTTACGTGGACCGGCACTCGAGTGGATTTATTACACTGACGTGGCCCGCGGGGAGAAATCGTGGGCGCAGTTTCGGGCAGATTTAATCGAGCGTTTCGAACCGATTAATACGACCTACATGGCGCGGCAGCAGATACACCGACACAAACAGTACAGTAGTGTAGCACAGTACACGCAGCAGATGGAGTTACTGTTCAACCGCATCACCGACCTGACCGAAGGCGAAAAAATCCAGGCGTACACAGAAGGGTTAAAATTAGAGATTCGGCGACAGGTGATCGCGGCGAATTACAACAGCTACAGGGACATCGTGCGTGCTGCCAAACGGTACGACGCGTTGACTCGAGGTCAACCCGAAACACGACGTTTCGCGCCGAACCGTACATTCGGCACGGAGCGATCGGCACCCCCCACGTTCGCCGAACCGATGGATATCGACAAATACGACGCGAAGCAGCAGCCAACAAAATGTGAATTCTGCAGCGCAGCAGGGCATCAGATTTTGTCGTGCTACAAAATGAAGAAAGCACGTGCGGCACTCCGGGACGGTAACAGTGGAGCACCCTTGAAGTAAAAAAACGGGAATCGCCAGTAGCCGCGGATCGACCTGGCGATCGCGTAAAGATCCGAAAAGCAGGAAAAGGCGACGACGTGGCGACTTCGGAGCGGGTGAAAAAAGGAGAAAATGATGTCGCGAATATAAAATGTCATGACCAGCCGGCATCAGGGGAAATCGCCGAGGCGAATGGTGGCTCCGCGAAAATAGACTCTGCACCGACCGAGAAACTCCAGCCGAACACCCACGAAAGTAAGAATTCGTTAAAAGTATCCTATAAAGATACTCTAACGAAAAATATTGCTTCTCGTGGTTTTCAAGCCTTTGAAAAATTCAGGGGAGATTTAGAGGCCAAGAAAAAGCCTTTAGAAATTATTCAGGTACCTGAGAAGTTGGGCAAAGTATTACGGAGCGTAGAAAAGGGTCGTGCGTTCCGTGGTGTTAATATTCTCTCCCCGCAGCATAGCGCTAAGGCTCCCCGTTGCCCACAGGTGAAGCCTACACAGCTGCAAAGGCTTAGAGGAGACATCCAGGCTCAGGAGAAATTATACAAGCCTCGGAAAAATCCTCCTACCCCCCAGGTGAAGTTGGAAAGTGCTGAGTCGGGTATAGGAAGTAGGGAAGGTATTCACTTTGATGTACCCTATGATCCTATTAATGAGACCCTCTTTGGCTACTCAGCGCAGCAGAAACCACTACTCCTCGAGGTGTTATGCAAAGGACGACGCCTCCAGGCACTGGTGGACAGCGGTGCATCTCACTCGGTGTGCGACCGCGGAACATTGGAGAAAATTGGAGAGAAGGCGGAGGAGACCCAGTTTTCAGCAACCATGGTGGACGGTACGAAGCTTCCTATCCACGGCGAAGCATCACTGCAGCTGCATATAGGTGCGTTGAGGTGGAAGCCGAAGCTACCTGTCACCAACATCAAAGGGTTAGATTTTATCTTGGGGCGAGATTTCCTGAAGCGGTTCAACCCCGAGATCGATTGGGTCAACAGCAAGGTGTGCATCTACAACAACGGGAAGCGGATAGCACTACGAAGCTGGACGGATACAGGGGATGTTCCTGAAACGACACTGGCACGGTTCGAACAGACGGTGAACGAGAGTAACACGGGTTCCTTAGCACTGGTCATGGCAGCAGTAGAGAAGCCGGGTTCCGAGCTACCCGCAGCAGTGAAGGAGGTCTTGGAGCAGTACAAGGACATAATGCCCAACGACCTACCTGCAGGCGTACCTCCAGCACGCACCCACAAGCACGAGATCGTGGAGGAACCAGGTGCGAAACCCGTCTCACGTGCACCTTACAGACTGAGTCCGACCGAGCTGACAGACATGAAAAAACAGATCGAGTATTTACTGGACAGACAACTGATCCGCCCATCCACCTCTCCCTACGGCGCACCAGTTCTCTTCACTCCAAAACCAGACGGCAGTTTACGGATGTGCATCGACTACCGCGCACTGAACAAACAGACAGTCAAAAACAAATACCCCATACCGCGCATCGACGACTTACTGGACCAACTGCGTGGTGCAACAGTCTTCTCGAAGCTAGACCTACGGTCGGGTTACTGGCAGATCAAGATGGCGGACAACTCGATCCACAAGACGGCGTTCCGTACGAGATACGGCTCCTACAAATACTTGGTGATGCCGTTCGGACTCTGCAACGCACCAGCGACGTTCCAGGCGGAGATGAACCACATCCTTCGACCCCTGCTGGACGAGTGCGTAGTAGTATACCTGGACGATATCCCCAGAGCTCGTGGATCATCTACGGAAGGTGTTCGAGATCCTGCGGAAAAACAAGTTCTACGTGAAGCTCTCAAAGAGCGACTTTGCACTGAAGAAGGTGCAGTTTCTCGAGCACATGGTGAGTGCCGAGGGCGTACACGTGGACCCGCGGAAGATCGAAGCCGTTAAGAAGTGGAAAGTTCCAGAGAACGTGAAGGAGTTGCAGCAGTTCATGGGCTTCGCCAACTACTACAACAGGTTCGTGCCGCAGTATGCTAAGATAGCAGCGCCACTGACCGACCTACTGAAAAAGGACACGCCCTTCAAATGGGGTGCTCCTCATCAGCAAGCCATGGAACAGCTACAGACAGCACTGACCACAGCACCAGTACTCATCCTACCGGACCCCGAGAAGGACTACGTAGTTGAAGCAGATGCTAGTGACCAGGCAGTTGGAGCAGTACTGATGCAGGATCACGGGAACGGTTTACAGCCTATCGCCTACCTCAGTAAGAAGTTACACGGAGCAGAACTAAACTACCCCATCCATGACAAGGAAGCCTTAGCCATAGTCGTAGCCTTCAAGGCATAGAGGTGTTACCTAGAGGGAGCCAAGACCAAAGTCTATACTAACCACAGCAGCCTTAAGTACCTGAAGTCGCAGCCGACGCTTTCACGACGACAGGTGCGGTGGGTGGATTTCTTGGAAACCCACTTCCACTACGACATCGTCTACAAACCCGGGCTACACAACAAAGCTGACGCGTTGAGCCGCCCAGGTCATGTAGCAGGCATCCAGCTCGACGGGATGAACCCTCTGCTCAAGGGTCTATTCCAACATGGGTACTCCGTGGACGGCGAGATCGCTACAGCAGAGAAACAGAAACTGTTACAGTGGGAGAAAGACTTAGCGGTAAGGAAGGGTTCAGGAAAGATTTGGGTACCGAACTACGCCCCGCTACGGCAGAAACTTTTGGAGGAGTTTCACGACAAACCATACGCGGGACATTTCGGGAGCAACAAGACGTTAGCGGGAATAGCGAAGTATTACTACTGGCCCCGGATGGCAGCAGACGTGCAGCAGTTCGTCACCTCATGCAACACGTGCCAGCGGATGAAGAGTAGCAAGTAGAAAAAGCAGGGTTACTTCAGCCTCTACCCGTACCGGAGCAGCCATGGCAGGTCGTTAGCCTCGACTTCATCACGGGACTTCCCTCGACCTCACGGGGACACGATTCCATCCTCGTAGTGATCGATAAGTTCTCCAAAATGGGTCACTTCATACCGACCAACGCCACAGCTACAGCTGAAGCAACTGCTCGCCTCTTCTTCGACCGCATCATCACCATCCACAGCATCCCCGCTACACTCATCTCAGACAGAGACCCAAAATTCACGAGTAAGTTCTAGAGGGACTGTTGGGGACTAAGCTTGCGATGTCTTCAGCATACCATCCCCAGACTGACGGACAGACAGAGCGACTCAATCAAGTGGTTGAACAGTTACTGCGCACAGCTTGCAAAGACGACATCAGCCACTGGGACACACAGTTACCGACCTTAGAGTTCGCTTACAACAACGCCTCGCATGCGGCCACAGGGAAAAATTTTTTCTTCCTGTGTTACGGACGGGAACCACTCACACCACAGCAACCAACCACACCGGCACACGTCCAAGCCGCACACGACTTCGTCACCACCATGCAGCAGCTATGGGAGAAGACTCAGCGGCGTCTCACCACGATGCAGAACTCCCAGAAGCAGTATGCCGATCGCCAACGACGAGATCACTCAGTAGCAGTCGGAGATCAGGTGCTTCTTGACACGCGCAACTTGAACCTGTCTCACCTACCATCCAAACTCCAGCCTCGCTTCTGTGGTCCATTCCTCGTACAGACACAGGTGACACCAGTTACATTCCGCTTGCGCTTACCAGATACGTGGAAGCTTCACAACGCTTTCCATGTTCAGCTGCTGAAACCCTACAAGGACCCCAACCAACAGTTCCGAGACGGCAGCTACCGCCACCTCCACCTGTTCTTGTGCAGGATGAACCAGAGTACGAGATCGAGCGCGTTCTCACTCATCGGCGCCGCGGCGGCAAGACCCTCGAGTTCCTGATACGCTGGAAGGGATATGACCCCACTGAGGACAGTTGGGTTGCAGAAGCTGATATGGGCAACGCACGCCATGCTCTCAAGGACTATCTTGTCAAGCAGGGTGTATCTCACGCCACCCAGCTTTGAGGGGGGGACGTGTGAGAGTACGACGGCTTATGCTTGCTATTCATGCTTGCTTTAAAACCCTTACGCTACTCCTAGCTTAGGTTTATTTTATGCATGCATGAATTGCTTGATTCCTTAGGTTCGTTGCTTTACTATAGTTATTTTAGTTATAGGCACCGAACTCAAGCTATTCGGTTGCCACCGAATTGCTTTCTACCGAGTTCGGGAAGGTTCTGTTCGGGACGCTTCGCGACCCTCAGAACATTCGCGTAACACCTGGGTTACCTGCCTTGTGTCGAGCCTATATATAGCCTCGTGTTGTACCCAGGTGATCATTCAATTTACATTCTCTTTTCTGAGCTCGATCCTAAGATCCTCACAGCAGGTCCCAAATACGGCGCGCATTGTTATATGAACGATAACGCTCCGAGCCAATAGTCTCGGTGTTTACACATGCGTCTCCCAATCGCCTAGTTGAGATCAGGTTCGCGCACAAGTCCGGCACCCATAGCACGTTCGCCAATCCCACAAGCTCACCATCCGTTCCCATAAACTTGGCGCATCCCATGCCCATGATTTTGGCCTTGGCGCCAGCCGCGGATCTGACTGTAGAGATCGGTGCGGGCTGGATCTCATCAAGAAGATCCGCACGAGGAGTCCTATGCCAGGAGCTCCCGGAGTCAATCACCCAATGGGTGAGGGGATGAAGGAGAACCTTGGCAGCCATAGCGGGGTCGGTATCATAGCATCAACATAGCGGGAACATTGGTTGAGAATCGATGACGATTTGTCGCTTCAAATTCTACCACCAGCTCTAATGCCAATGGTTGCATGGGATCCTGTAAATTTGAAGACTTACGACGATCTCAAATCTCAACTAAACGCAAATCCACTCGGTAGGACGCGCGCTAGACTTAGCTACCGTTTGCAAGTTGAATCGCTTGATTTCATGATCAAGGGAGTGAGGACGAACCAAAAACGTATAGCTGCTGCTTCCACTAGAAAGGATGGAGGAAGAACAAGCATTAAGCATAGAATAGGGAGTTGGGGGGTTTGAAGAGAACTTTGTACGGGAAGGCTCTCCAAATGCTTGGGAAGGATGGTGGGAACCTTCCTAGCATCAAAGGTGCAACCGTCAAGATGAGGTCCTTAAGGTGTCACATGCAAAATCCAATCCAATTGGATTTTGCCTAGGTGTTGCAACATTTGCAACCTATGCTAGAAACTTCTAGCCTCCCCCATCCAACCAAAGATCCCTTTATAGTCATGAACCAATAATCACTCACTTTAGTTAATATCCCAAATTAAGATAGAAATCTCATATCTTGGAAATCTTGTAACTTGGGCGATCTTGGTCGGAATAAGGCGATCTTGGTCGGAATAAGGCGATCTTGGTATCGTTGAAAAGCTCCGGATTTCTCCTACGTGATCAAGCATTTAGACTTGGAGAAAAACACAGAGGTGGTAAAGTCCAACAGCCATGCACAACGATTTATGCTCATGCAAATGACGCAAGCATGGATTGCACGAGCACACAGCAGGACGTTAGGATGACATGCACTCATACTGACGTGCATACAACAATTCCCACCCCTCATACCTACTCCGATGCATTTTCTGGCTTCCACGCCACTAAGTGTGTCATCGGGACTGGAGTGTTGGCCCCGCCCTCGCTTGGGCAACGCCGACGACTTGGTCGGATATACGGTGAAGCAGCCGACCGTTCGCAGTGAAGGAGCTGCTCGACAGCCTTTGTCGAGCTGCAGGGTGTCACTGTGGGGTTTCTGTCGACCAGGGATGCTCGGCGGGCGCAGCTGATTCGGCTGGGCGACAGGTGGGCCATCGACCAGGAGTTCTAGTTCGACGGGGAGGTCGACGGAGCAGTCCGTCGACCTGACATGTGAGCAACGGTCGACGAGGGGTGCTCGGCGACACCAGCAGAGGGTTCTGGTCGACGGAAGGGGTCCATCGACCATGGGGCTACTCGACAGGAACTGTGGTCGACCAGGGACCCGTGGTGGTCGACCAGAGGCACCTGGTGGTCGACCCGGGGACGTGGTGGTCGATCGAAGTCACCTGGAGGTTGACTAGAGGCGCCTGATGGTCGACCGGAAGCTCTTGGTGGTTGACTATAGTGGCTGGTGGTGTCCAGGTCGACCAGGTAACCTGCTCGACGAGTTCTGCGGAGGCATACGAACGTTGTCGAGGTCGCGATGACGAAGGCAACTGCGAGCTTGTATCCTGAAGTCGATGTGGCCCGCAGGCGCAGACAATAGCCGACGGATGCCCAACGAGGCAAGTCGGGCCAATCGTCTGCGCGCACCTGCGAGCGTGCGCACTGCTGTCTTCTACAGGGCAATACTGGACAGCCGCACTGCTGCTGCATTGGCATGCCGTCGACCTGTTGTGTTGGCAGGCCGCCTTTTTGCAGTGCTGGCACAGCTCCTCTACGTAATGCTGGCACTTGGTCGACCATGCAGTGCTGGCGGTCGACCAGGCTAGTTGCAGAGTTGCTAGGTGCCTGATGTAGTCAATTATGTCATTGCTTGTTCTATCATTCCGCAATTCCAACTTTGCTAGTGAAACTCTTGCCAACTTCTCCCGTGAATGTGCAAGTGCTAAGGAATGCAAACAAAGCTACGATCACTCCTAGTAGTTCGTGCCAACACCCGTCGTCTAGCTCTTTACCGTTGTAGAGTGAATCTCCGCATGGTGCGGTGAGTGTGGATGGCCCCGCGAATTACCTTCAGATAGGAGCCGATTTTTGCACCTACTAAGGCGTTCGTAGACCGGCAGCAGCGTTAATCGCCATGGTTGACCCCATTGTAGAAGCGGGCGTAGTGGACGCTTTGGAGACACGCTTGGCTGATGCGAGGAGACGCCACGCGGATGGCGAGTACGGGACAATCCCCTCAACGATCGTCGAGTAGGGCATTCGGGCGCAGTGGGCGACGGATCACCCTTTCCGTTCTTCATCTCCTCGACTAGTGCGAAACGAAGGTGGCGTCTACAACAAGGTCGATGGCGGTGCTCGAGTCAGCGGCAGTGAAAGCATGAGGCAGAGAGGGGTGATCAAGATCGATGGTGGTGTCGACAGAAGTCAGGCGCGAGTGAAGCGGTCGACGCCGCAGGCATCTCGCGTGTCAACTTCGATGGTCGACGTCGCTCTCTTCTACGAAGCGGTGGAGGTCTCTCAGCAACAACGCACGTGAAGACGGGTGGGATTGCACCGACATATGGCTACTTCAAGTTCTCGCCGGACCGGATCACCGTCGCCCCGCTGCAAGGTCGACGGGACCTCATCACCTGGAGGGAGTCGATAGAACCTTAGCTGGAGGTCGTCGGGCTGAAGGGCTTCGCCGACGACA